AGATTGGCTTTGGCATCTACAAAGTCAACAGATTGACATTTACATACTATTAATGCTACAGAGATCCTTGAAACTGCTGTTCTTCTGAAGCTCACTGGCTCACTGCTATACTTTGTTATCTTCGTCACTATTATAAAGTTTCGTTGTTATAAACTGCCAATTGACCCTGCCAGAGTTTCAGCTTCTAGATGTAACTTCTTTACTTGCTCTGCTAAATTTCCAGAAATAAAATCTTAGCCTATTTTAATAAGAGGAAAGCTAACTATAAAATTCAAATGAAAAATACTGTTTTCTAGTCTTTTCTACACTCAAATGTAACACCCTTTATCACTGAGGTCTTGTTAATTATAACTTGCCACATGGTTACTCATAGTATCACATTTTTTACCTATCCAGAACTTTTAGTGGGTACTGTGACCTCCATGTTATCAGTCATTCTTAGCCTCATTCTTTTAAATATTTTCTGAGCAACTACAATGCATACTATGTGTTAGTCACTATCCAAGAAGCTTCACAGATTCAATGGTGAGATAACACTCAGGGTGGGAAGACAGGCAATAAATGTAAACAAAACAAGATAATTTAGATAGTGATGAATGCCACATAGGAAATAAATACGGAGGGGCTAATTTAGAGTGTATGCTCAGATAAAAACCACTTTGAGGGAGTGACGTTTCAGCTGAGATATCACAAGAAAAGGCCAGACATCTGGGACAGATTGTTCCAAATAGAAGGAAGAGCAGATGAAAAGGCCTTACTGTAGGAAGAAGCTTGGAGTGCTTTAGTATGGAAAGAAGATAGGGGTGGCTGGAGTGTAGTGAGTAAGGATGAGAATCAGGAGATAAAGACAAACAGGAAAACAGGGGTTTTGTCCAGTAAGAGAGCACTGAAGAACTTTAAGCAGGGATATTTGCTTTTTTGTTTTCTGTTTTTGTTTTGTAAACTTAATCTGGCTGTCTGTGGAGAGCTGACTTCTGGGGTTCTGGAATAAAAGCATGGAGTTCAACAATAACCATGGCAGGTCATGACCATAGAGCTGACATCTGTACATGGACTGAATGTGGAAGGTGAAAGTAGGGTCATCTGTTAGACTGAAGAGACTCGTGATGGAACTGGTTTGTAGGTGTAAAAAAAAAAAAAAAAAAAGTTGTTTTTATCATGTTAAATTTGAAGAGCCTATTATATATCCAAGTAAATACGTAAGTTAGGAGTGTGGTAGAATGGTCATTAAGAGACATATAAGTAAGCGACGAAATAACATTTTAAAAATCCATGAAACAGGTTGAGATCATTCAGGAAGAGAGTATTACTAAAGATGAAGACAGAACCTAAGACTGAGTCCTGAAACTTGTACATATTTACAGATGGAACAGAAATGATAGCAAAGAAAACTGAAGGATTAGAGAAGGAAGAAGAAAATTTGGAATGTGATGTTTTAGAAGCCAGAAGAAGGACATTTCGAGGGGGTAGTTATTTGCATTGAACTTTGCTAAGAGATAAATTAAGAAGAGAACAGAAAAGTGACCAACGGATTTGGTGCCATGAAGATCACTTGTAACTTTGACAGAAGCAGCCTCTGTAAAATGATGTCATAATGCCAAATGAATGGGTAGAGGAAAGAATGGGATGTGAAAAAAATGAAATGATAATTATAGACAACTCTGAGTAGTTTTGCTGTCAAGAGGAGCAGAATTATACAGCAGTGGCTGGAGAAGGATATGGGGTCAAGGGAGGATTTTTTTTAAAAGTTGGGAGATACAGCTTGAGTATCTCTTATCTGAAATGCTTAGAACCAAAATGTTCCCATAAGCATTTAAGTGTCATGTGGCTGCTCAAAAAGTTTGGATTTTAGAGCATGTGGGTTTCGAATTTTCAGATTTGGGATGTTCAACCTGTAATACAGTATGCTTACATTATGTATCTACTAGCGAAGAAAAAATAAAAGAGAGGGAAGTTATAGTTGCAAGTCCTTGAAAAGGAAGGTGAGGACCCAGAAAACAAGTGGAGGGGATAGATAGCTTTGGAACACCATACTTCATCCATTTTAACAGGAAGACAGGAAGAAAGTGTGGAAAGATGTAGGGATCATAGTTGATTGGTGTTAGGAAGAAACAGGAGTTCTCATTTGATGGCTTCTTTTTCCTCAGTGAAGTATACAGTAAGACTGGGGTTAAGCCAAGGCAGTAGGAAGGAAAGAGACCAGGTCAAGAGAGTGATTACCTAGGCTGGCTATGAAGAGATGTACAGATCTCTTCAGTTTCTGGTCCCCAAATGAAAAACTTCACAAATATTCAAAGTAGTTTTTTTCATAATTTCTTGATTGTAACTATAGGGAGATTTCCAACTGAGCTACTTGCTACAGCAATTTTAGAAGAACTAAGTCTGTACATCTCAGTATAGCCTAAAGGTTAAATATCCCACAATAAACCAATTTCCATAAAGCTATGTATAACATCTCATTTTATGATTCTAAACGCTGTTGGAAACACTGATAAAGATTAAATATCATCTAGCACAAAACACCATATAGCCATTTATATAAGATAAATATGTATACACATATAAACATGACATAAATGTATATATATCATATACATATAACAAATGTAAGGACATTTTATTTTTT